ATTTTTCTGTTTTCTTTTTCCTCTTCTTTTTCCCATTTCTCATTCTCCTCGGGTTTTCTACTTCCTCTTTCTGTCTGCTTCTTTCTCCCTCCCTCTCCCCTCTCTGCCTTTCCTCTTCTCCCTTTTATCTCCTTTCTACTTCCACTATTTCCTTCTCTCTCCTCTTTTTTCCCCCTTTCTCCTTCCCTTCCCTCATCCCCTTTATGTTTTTCTCCTCTTATCTCTCTTCTTCCCTTTTCTTCCCCTTTTCTACCTCTCCTTCTCTCCCTTCAACCTCTTCCTCTCCCCCCTCCCCCATCCTCCTCTTCCTCTCCCCCATCCTCTTCTTTCCTCTATCTTCTTCCTACCCTTTCTCCCATTCCTCCTTCCCTCTCATCTCCCTTAATCCTTCTCCCCTCTTCTCTCTCACCTTCCACCCCCTCCCTTCTTCCAACCCCCCCTCTCTCCCCTCTTCCGACTCCTCCTCTCCTATTTTCCCCCTTCCCCTCTCCTCTCTCCCCTTCCTCCTTCCCCTTTCATCACCCTTCTCCCCTCTCACCTATCCATCTCTTTCTCCTCCTCCTCCTCCCCCAACCCATTTCCCCCTTTCTCCTTTCCCTCTCTCCTCCTCCCCATCCTCCTCCTCCTCCTCCTCCTTCTCCCAACCCCTCTCCTCCTTCCTCCATTCCCTTCACCCCCCCCTCCCCATCCTCCTCCTCCTCCTCCTCCTTCTCCTCCTCCTCCTCCTCCTCCTCCCAACCCCTCTCCCCCCTCCTCCATTCCCTCCACCCCCCCTATCCTCCTCCTCCCTCCCAACCCCTCACACTCCCTCTCTCCTCTTTCCTCCCCCCCAACCCCTCTCCCCCTTCCTCTATTCCCTCCCTCCTAACCCCTCTCCCCCTTCCTCCATTCCCTCTCTCCTCTCTCCTTCCCCTCCTCTCCCCCTCCCCCTTTCCCCCTTCCTCCTTTCCCTCTCTCCCTTCTTCCTTTCCCTCTCTCCTCTCTCCTCTCTCCTCTCCCCCCCTCCCCCCCTTTCCCTTAGCAGGTGGAAAGTACCTCAATGATTCTGTGAAGGATAAGCACTCGGTCTCAGCTGTGAAGATTTTTGACTCTCCTGCTCAAGGTTTTATATTCTCGAGGGAGACTGCGTTTTTTTGTTGGTTTGGTCTGTTTGTGAGTGTTTGTTTGTTTGTTTTTGTTTGTTCGTGTGTGTTTGTGTTTGTTTGTTTGTTTGTGTGTGTGTGTGTGTGTGTGTGTGTGTGTGTGTGTGTGTGTGTGTGTGTGTGTGTGTGTGTGTGTGTGTGTGTGTGTGTGTGTGTGTGTGTGTGTGTGTGTGCATGTGTGTGTGTGTATGTGTGCGTGCATACCTGCATCTGCATATGCATATAAGCGTTCGTATCCATATGTTCCTGCACGTGTCTGCATACATATGCGTAAGTCCATGTATATGTATCATTTATAAGAATTACCCTAAACAATTTTTTTTATATATAAATACGTAAAATCCCAGAGTTTGAAGTGAGATCTCTTTGATATTCAGATATTCCTCCAAATAAATCTATATTGCAGAGGCGAAAATCAGAGTGGGAAATACTTCGTTTTTCCAATTCTGAGAGAAAGGTTTACAGTTCAGTTCACGAGTATGTGTGATTTTGTTAATGAAATATATCTTATTGTTTTTTAATTAATAGATCGCTGATTACGATTGTGATGTTTTTATCAATTTAATAATGATTGTTTTCATGATTGGTCATGTTTATTGTAATGGTAATAATTCTGATAACATAAGAAAATTTATTATGATGATAATAGTGATTATAAAGACAATTATTAACATAATGATACTAACAATAATAATAACAATGATAAGGATCATAGAAAATAATGATGACAGTTATAATAATGATGGAAACTAATAACAATAAGCATATGTAAGTTAACAATAACAACAACAATTAAAAAAATAATTATAATAATGATAATAAGGACAATTATTATCATCATCATCATCATCATTATTGTTATTATTATTATTATTATTACTATTATCATTATTATTTTCATTATTATTGTTATCATCAGTATTAGCATTATTACTAGTAGTAGCAGTAGTAGTAGTAGAATCATTATAATTGATATTAATGTTGAAGATAATGAGACTAATGATTATTATATGTAAAGATATTAATCAGTTTAAATATATATATATATATATATATATATATATATATATATATATATATATATATATATATATATATATATATATATATATGTATATATATTGAAATTAGTAAACGAATAAAAATGAAAGCAAAAAATAAAAAAAATAATGGAAGTCAAAGGAAAAAAAAGAAAGGAAGAATAAAAAATAGTTAGAAGCTTACAAAGAGAATTCCGCAGCTCGTGACTCAAAGGAAATTCAAAAGTCCCACAGTTAATACAAAAAATAACTAAATAAAAAAGATATATAAACCTTTAACCCCATATGAACTCCTAGCATTACCAGAATAAGAATAAA